AATTAACAGATGCTACCTTAATTTTGTGGGACGTCTATGTATGTGAATATATAGGCCAAAAATTGCACATATCGTGTTTATTTGTGTTCATATCATGTTCACGGTTCATTTATGTTCAAATTGTGTTTACGGTTGTTCATTTTTGTTCAAATTGTGTTCACGGTTCATTTGTGTTCAAATTGATCAATACCGAAAATTGTTACTACCGTGTTTCTTATGCGATTTAGGAATTCATACAAGAATGAACATGGAAGATCAATAGTAAAAAAATAATAATAATATGAATGCATATTTTTTGGGATTTGATTGTTTGTAACTCCCCATTATTGTTTGGGGGTTACAAATGAATTCAATTTACTAGAATACCCTTGATAAGTGTATTTTTTTCTTTCCAAAATGCCCCTTTCATCATTGTTCACTAGGCCTCATTAAAATTCAAACTTTAAAATTTAATTTTTTTATTGATTAATCTTAACCGTTGATTATAGATTTGGATGGCCAAGATCAGTTAATAAAGTTAACACAAAAATGATGGTTAGCATTTGATCTTGACCCTATATATAAGTTGGTTCAAATGCTAACCAAGATTATCGTGTTAACTTTGTTAACCGATTTTGACCGTTAATTTGAATAATAAACGGTTGTTATTTAATGATATTTAAAAATTAATTATTAAATTAATATTTTCAATTAACATATGTGAACAMAATATCAAAGGGTATTTAGATAAAAAGTAATATATCTTTGATACACGAGTTGTCAGACATATGAACAACTTGTGTATATCTTCAAACCACATCAAACAAAAAAGATTAGACATATGAACAACATGTGAACCGTATGAACATTTTCTGTATATTCATGAGCCAACTCTGCTGTATGTACATGAACACCTATGAACCAAGGCATCTAGGGTTGTGTGTTTTCATACGTGTTCACATGGTTTCACATGTTCTGTGTGTGTGTGTGTATGTATTCGTATGAACATCTAGTGACTTGAATATACATGAACACTTATGAATCACAGCATCTAAGACTGTGTGATTTCTGATGTGTTCATATGTCAAAGGTGAGAATTGTCGATTAAAATAAATGTGAATTATAGTACGTGAACAAGTGTGAAACCCCAATGTCACTATTGCATCATGATTAATTGTGATATTTTCAAATTTGTAACTCCCAATTAATTATTTGGGAGTTATATAAAATGATAAATTACTTAAATACATTTGTATTTAATATATGAGTTATATTTGAACCAAAAGAAAAGATGGAATATGATTGGTTAAGCTTGGTTAACACAAAAAAATTGGTTAGTATTTGAACCAAGTTATATATATATATATATATATATATGTATATATATACATATATATATATATGTATATATATACATATATATATATATGTATATAGGGTTGGGTTCACGTGAGACCAATGGTTTTTCGTGAGACCCATAAGACCAATTTATGTTCATTGATCAACTTTATAAGCTGATGATCTAATGGTCTAAAGTTGCAAGGTGGCAATTTCGTAATTATTGAGAAGTCTCGTGGCGTTTATGAATGTTTAGATCTAACGATTATAAATCTAATCCAAGGGATGAGAATTGGTCTTACGGGTCTCACGGAAAATCATTGGTCTCATATGATCCCAAGTCTATGTATATATATATACATATATATATATATATATGTATATATATATATATGTAGGGTCAGGTTCAAATGTTAACCAAAGTTTTTGTGTTAACTTTGTTAACCGATCTTGATCATTCAATCTTTCGTTAAACGGTTGTGATTAATCATGATAAAAACTTATTTTTTTAAATTTAAAATTTCATAAAGATAAATGAACAAAGTTGAAAAGGGTATTTAGGTAAAAAAAATTATGTAACTCCCATATCATTAATTGGGAGTTACAAAATCAAAAAATTCTATGATTTTTATTAATTTCTTTTTATTAATGTAAGAATTATATGAACACAAATATATATATATATATATATGAACCATTGTGTCAAATACGAACAAAAAATTGACATATATATGAATTTGGACTGAATAACATTTATGAACACAATTATGAACGTAATAAGAATAACTACTATACGAAAGAAAATAAATAAAAAAACATGTATAAACACAATATGAACAACGTGTGAACTATAGTTCATTCATTATAAACACATTCAGGAGCGATCCTTTGTCAATTGGAGTTTTATACATGCATTGCATCCACACCGTTTAAGGTTCACCCCTTGTTCATATATGTTTCTGGTCTTATGTGGTTGTTCACCCCTTGTTCATATATGTTTCTGGTCTTATGTGGTTGTTCACCCCTTGTTCATATATGTTTCTGGTCTTATATGGTTGTTCACCCCTTGTTCATATCGTGTTCACCCCTTGTTCATATCATTTAAAAAATATGAACACATAACCCCGACGCTATGAACACCGGATGCAAACACTTATACAAATATAAAAATCTGGTATCCAACTTAAAAAAAACACTTGTGTTCATATGATAGAAGTAACATGAACACAATAGTTCATGATTCACAAAAGTCGGTAATATGACAATATGAAAATGGGTCGTGCATGTACTTCCATTTGAACATGTGAATTAAGTACGTATTAATAATTAAAGAAAAAGCTATCAACGCAATATGAACTACAAAAAACACAACACATCATATGAACATAATTTTGATTAACGAGTCTAATAAAATATTAATCCATTAACAAGGCATTCACTTTGGTTAATTTATTCACTTCCCGAACTCGAACTTCGATTGTCACCATAAACTATTTTAATCTTCTCAATGTTGTCGATTTTTTTTCAATGCATTTATCCATAGTAGCTTGAACGATACCGAAGATTTTACTATCGTGTTTCCTCCATGAATCAAAAACTCAAAAAACAATAAAAATGGAAGATCAAGATTAAAAAATAAATAAAATATCAATATTATAAATGTATATTTTTAGAGATTTTATGATTTTGTAACTCCCCTTTAAAGGTATGGGAGTTACATATCAAATGAAATTACTCAATTACCCTTGGTATTAAATTGTAAACATGATAGAAACCTAATAGAAAATGGATTGTGATTGGTTGACATGGTTTGCAAAGTTAACACAAAAACTTTAGTTAACATTTGATCTTGTCCTTATATATATATATATAATTCGAGTCGTGGATTAGATTATATTGGGCTCATGGATGAGAGACTTTTAATAAAAAAGTAAGTACTTTGTTGGAATTGGTCATTTGGATCGTTCGACATGGGCTTGAATTTGATTACTCGGTCTACTTCTCGAGTTGGATTAGTCGTATCCCTTATTGAATTATGCTCTAAATCATAAGTAGGTATTTTTGTAATAAGATGATTAAAGATGCCACTAAATTTTATGACTATATTTATTTATATCAAATTCATTAAAATTTTTAAAAGTTGATAAAATATGAATCTAACTTTGAATACTGGCCGGTGGCCAACGACAGGTTACAGAGATGTTCAAACAGTTCTCTTTTCGAATTTGTTTGATTTGATTTTTTCTTTTGAAAAAGAGTGATCCTAGACTGCGTCCCATGACAAAGTTGTGATTGTAGACAATAACCCTTAGGCAAATCTCCCTGTGGCCGTAAATGCATATGTAGATGATTGGATTCGAATATCAGTTTTTACTTTATTGAATTTGCTTCACTAATATGCTCGTGATTTGACTTTGATTGTAATGGACTAGTACCAAGATAGAGTTCTAGAGAATCGGACCTTATATTAATAGTCGTAACAGTAACAATGAAAATGGCCCCTTAGGTAGCGTTTGGTACGCATATATGATTGGACAGAACTGGACATGACAGAACAGTACTGGACAGGACAGAACAGTACATGACAAGATGGTAGGATTGGACAGGACTGGACAACACAAGAGTATGTCTGATGTTTGGTACGACTTGGACTAGACGGGACAGAACTAGATAAGCTACCTCCAAGAGTTATTTGATTATTTTAAATGTTATATAATAGTTATAGTTAACACAAATAAAGTAAATAATTAAAGAATTTAATTTATAAATATTTGTACATAATTTTTATATAAATGAATAGATACATATATAACGATACCAAATTTGAATGAAAAATTTGATATAATTGATGGCAGTAGTGGTGGCGGTGGAGGTGGTTTTGATTATGGTGGAGGTGGTGGTAGCCGACGGTAGTAGTGGCAATAGGCGGTGGTTATGGAGGTAGAGGCAGTGGTGGTTGGTGGACGATGGTGGTTATAGAGGACATGAAGATGGTGGATTGTGGTGATGCTGGCGGTTGACAACGGTTGAGGAGGTAGTTGTGGCTGATATAGTGAATATAGTTGTGGTGGTGATTATGGTGGAGGTGAGTTGGCAATGAATGGTGGTGGCCGATGGTGTAGAGGAGGTTGTTGCAGTAGAGGAGGAGTTGGAGGTGGCCAACGGTGGTTGTGGAGGTCATGGAGGAGGTTGTTGCGGTATAGGAGGATTTCAAGGTGGCCAACGGTGGTGGTGGTGGTAATGTGTGGTGGTGGTTGGTAGCCGATGATGGTTGTAAAGGTGGCAATGGATGGTGGTCAAGGAGATTGTTGTAGTAGAGGAGAAGTTGGAGGTGGCGAATGGTGGTAGTGGTGGTGGCAATGGATGGTGGTGGTCGATGGTCGACTATGGTAGAGGTGGTGATGGACTTGGTGGACGGTGGTTGTGGAGGCGGTAGAGGATGTTGTTGTAGTGGAAGAGGAGGCAGGGGCGGATTCACCATGTAAAAGGTGGGGGGAAGGGCCCCCATTAAAAATTAAAAAAATGAATTTTTTGAAGGTTAAAAATTGTCTTTTTTACTTTCTACCATGGTTCTCCTCCGTAATTTCTTGTTAGGGCCCCCACCAACTAAAGAAATTATCTTGAAATCAACCAAAAAACTGAAAAGTTCCTCGAAATCGATAAGAAAATCTTAAAAAATCCCTCGAAATAATCCAAAAAAACTTCAAAAATCTCTTGGAAGGGTGGAATTAGGCTTAAAACACATCGGACGACTTGGTGAGCGTTTAAGCTACCTTAAAGGTGCCCCCACTAGACCAAAATCCTGGATCCGCCACTGAGAGGAGGTGTCGGTGGTGGTGGTCGTCGGTAGTGGTGGCGGCAACCGAAACAAGAGGTGATGACCAATAAAACAAATACCATATTAAAGTTGTATATCAAAGTAGAGTAGATTAGTAATATTTTAGTTTCTGTCTCATTATTGTCTCATCTTATTCCACCTATTTTGGTGGAACAAGAAAAAACATCTTTTGTCCCATGTTGTCCCATTTGTCTCAGTTCTTGTCCATGTCCCATGTTTGATTCTTGTTCTGTCCCATGCTGCGTCAAACAAGGGACAATGAGTTTTGTCCCGTCCTCCCGTCCTATGTACCAAACGCAGCCTTAATGAATAAATGTCTGACCAAAATATGTTATTGCTCACGTGCAATTACAGGGGTGGTGTTGGGTACCAATTGTTATAGCACTATTCGTGGAGCCGATAAGCTTAATTTATATGGATGTCTATTTGCCGGGTTGTCCATCTAAAATTATAGATGCTATAATAGAACTTGGTGAGAAAAAATCTCGATAAATCTATCCAGCTTAAATTATGTCTCAGCAATGCTATATTACCCATCACAAGTTTGATTTTGGAAACGGGCAAGACTGACTCTAAAACAAAAATTGAGAACCAAGTGGATTCGCTCACATTCTGCCTGCTTCAATGGTAGAAACCCCCCTTTCATTCAATCTCAAATACCAAGACTTTCATTCCTATAACCTTTCGATTTGCAACATTCCTCTTGGGTACAACTGTTCAAGATCACTACTTGTGAATTTATCGGATAAATTTCTTCATCGGATGAACATAAGAAGGGTCAATAATCTTACTGGGTAAGAGCGATGAAGAGTCTTACCCAGTAGATTGTTGCATTCGGTATGTTTTGATGTACTAAAATCTTATGAATCAAAATAAATTATAATGTTGACTCCTATCGATATGCGCTTACCGGATAAATATTTGGCTAAACGACTCCTTAGTAAGAATCGCCTTTTTACAGACAGATGCAGGAGCGTGGTTATTCCAACTCGAAAAGGTTTCCTTATCGAGTTGGTTACTGCATTATTAGATATTGCATTTGATACTGCATTATTAGATATTTAGATGATACGTGGTTGTGGATGTTGTAATATTAAAGAAAAAGCCCACGAGATGCGGTAATAAATGTCAACCACAACACAAGAATCAAATAAAACATAAAAAGACACAGCAAACCACCAAATTGAATTTTTAATATAAAAAAAACACATTTTGTTAAAGAATATAAAAACCAAAATTATTTAAATAAAAAACAAAAATAAACCCTACTTTACAACATTCCAAACACATCTATGACACATAAATAAAAATCAAATTTCCTAACCCTTCCATCTCTACTCACTCACTCGGCATGTGTCGTCTGACACCGAAGGCGAGTCCGACACTGAGTCCAGCATCTCGTGACTCGGTGACACCTCGATTCCGCGCATCTCCTCGATCATTTTCAACACATAACCCATTGTTGGCCGTTGATCGGGTGCACCAGCCGTACACGACATCGCGATCTGCAGCAACCCCACCATTTCTTCCTCGATATCCTTGTACCTCATCAGCTCCAAATCAAACACCTCTGCCGTCCATTCTTCACGCACCACTGACTGCACCCACCGCGGCAAGTCCACGGCTCCACCATACCCGGTCCCACCATTGTCCACCACTGACGGACATTTACCCGTTAGAAGCTCCAATAAAAGGACCCCGAAAGAGTAAACATCGGATTTCTGAGTGGTTTTCCGGACGTCCATTGTTAATAGTTCGGGTGCACGATAGCCGTTGGATTTTGGGGCAGTAGTTGGTGGCGCAAAGGCGGAGAGGCCAAAGTCGGAGACGGCAGCATTGCCGAATTTATCGATGAGGATGTTTGTAGACTTGATGTTACCATGGGTGAGCTTAAGAGACCTGCTGGAGTGATGGATAAAGACTAGACCCCTGGCTGCACCTGCTGCAACCTTAAGCCTTGTGGTCCAGTCCAAAGGGGTTCTGCCTGGTCCTCTGTTTCCTGTTTCATGACACAAAAAAAAAAAAAAAAAAAACCCACAAGAATTCGAGTCATGTCTTGTCTTTTTCACATCAGTGTACAACTCTCAAATGCATGGGGGTACAAGTCACTAAAGCATCTGAAACTTTCACTCCAGGGTGTACAACTCACTTAAGCATGATTGGTATAGAAAAAGATTTTGCCCCATGTATCATGAATGGAGGAGAGTACAAGTAGTTGATGCATGAAGATATATTTGGGAAATGAGATGGTAAAGAAAAGAGGATGATGTTGATGGAAGAACATAAAAAGAAAAGAAACAAAGAGAAAAGTGAGGGGTTTAAAAGGGAAACGACAGAAAGTTGGTGGGGGCAAAGCAGGTAAGAGATAAAAAATAACAGATTGTGCAGTTCCCCAGATCAAGAGAAGTGGGGGCAGCTTACTTTAGTTAGAAGTGTTGCCCTCTCTGTCTTTTTTATTATCTTGACCATGTGGTATATATTATATATATATATTTTTTCATTAAACATTGCATTTCAGTTTCACACTTGTAGTAGAAAACAAATTTACAGAATTTAAAAAATGGCCCAAACGTACACTATTAAAAAAAAAAACCAATTACAAAATATTAACACCAACATAGATTAAAGATGCATTTATTAAAGAGAGCCAAACTTATAATAAGACTTGGGACTTTTGCTTCCTCTTTTTTTTTATTGTTGACTAGTTGTGTATTGTTGACTAGTTGTGTATCCGTACAATGCAGCGGGAGCCGTAAATTTTAATGATTTTGAAGTTTTACTAGTTTCATTAGAGAAGATTTAACGATATATATAAGTTACATTTGGTCTTTACATATTAATACAATTTGAATAAATAAGAGTTATTGTTTCAACTAGAGTCTATCAATGAAAAAATTGTATAACAGTTAAAAATCCAATATATTTAAAATCCAACATATTTAACCGACTCCACAAATGTGTTCGATTTACACCAAGAGCAAAGAATCAAGAGATCGAGAGCGAGACCGAGAGTTTTAGAGCAATTGAATGGGAGATGGATGAAAGAACTTTTAATAATTCATGATGGATATCAATTTGAATCTCACTTTGGGGATGGAGAGAAGACATAGAGGTATGAGAAGGTGAAGCATGAGTGAAAAATGTCAAAAATATCTTTAAAACATGGAAAAAAAAAGGATAATAATGTGCATTGGTAACTTGTATCATATGCTATTTTAATTATAGATTAAGAAATTTTAAGACTGGATGTATAAAGTAGAAGTACTTAATGCATTATGATTTGTTTTCAAGACTTCTAAAACTTTGTGCATAAATGTATAGAACCTTGTGCATTAAGAATTGTTTTTAAAACTTTTGATAAATTTGGTTTATAAGGTAGTATAAATAAAATTTGTATGATATAAGCTTAAGGGATTGTTTGTTTTGTTTACATCTTAATAGTTCCGTTAAGAGGGAATCCTTAATGGTTCTAAAATCCTCTGAATGATTTTGTATCATGAGTCACCCTTAACTATTAAGGGCCCTAATTTTATTATAAACCATTACCAAACAATTATATTTCATTGTATCATAAGAACCTCTTAAATATTTTAACCAATTAATCATTATATGCTAAACCATTCACAAACTGAAAAACAACCCAAAAAGAGCACTAAAATGGGAGGAGGCAAACAAAAAGTGGAAGGAGCGGGAAATTGTATATATTAAGGATAATTGTGATGATTGGGCACCCTTAACTATGTTTCCTTTTTCTTTTTGTTTCTTTCACTAACTTTAACATTTTACCTTTTCTTTTACATTTTGACCGTTATTTTTTTTTTTTAAGTTAAATAAATATTGAGAAATGAAATATTAATTAAACTGGGAGAAAATATTTAACGGTAAGAATTAGATACCGTGAAGAAGCCAGAACAAGTTGCCGTTAGACATGTAATCGTAGACCAGCAACTTCTCATCTCTTGCGAAATAATAGGCCTTCAAACTAACGACGTTAGGGTGCCGTAACCTCCCCAAAACCTCCATCTGCTGTTCAAACTCCCGTTTACCACCAATCGCCGCCTCCTTCAGCCGCTTCACAGCCACCACATTGCCGTCGTCCAATACCGCTTTATACGCCGTCCCGAACCCTCCTTTGCCCAACATCTCCGCCGAAGCTCTCAACAAATCCTCCAGCTCAAACCTCCTCGCTCCTTCGAAAAAGACCATTCTACCCCTCTCGAACCCGGATTGTGCCGTTGGGTTCGGGTATGGGCTTGATGAATATACTATCTTCTCACCTTCTAGAATCTGCGACGACGTGGACTTTCCGTTACCTGATTTTCCAGCGAAGTTCCGCCAGAAGTAACAGTAGAGAATTAACGATACTAACGCCAATACCAAAACATCTCCGACTATAATCGCTATGATTGCTACCGTACTTATCTTCCCACTGCCGCCGTGGCGATTGCTTCCTGATTTTTTATGATCATCAGGCAATGACGCCGTCGAAGGCATGGAGCTCGGAGATGATGATACAACCGTGTTCGCTGGTTTCCCTACCGGCGAGGCTAATCCAGGTATTTTGGGCTCGCTACAGTTGGAGAGCGGGAATCCGCACAAAATCTGGTTGTTTGAGAATGCGGACTCAGGGAAGCCGGAGAGTACGGTAGGTATTTCACCGGAAATCTGGTTACCGGATATATTGAAGTCTTGTAAATTTTGTAAGTTTAAGACAGCAATAGAACCTGAAAACTTGTTCTCCTCAAGGCGTAAAGTCAACAAGTGATTCATACGGTTGATTGTGGCCGGAATCTCGCCGGAGAAGTTGTTATACGATAGATCAAGGCGGTATAGACGAAACAATGAGGGTAGAGACGGCGGAAACTCGCCCGAGATTTGGTTGTAGGATAGAAAGAGTAGTTTGAGCGAGGTAAGGTTCGTGAGATCTGGAATAGGACCAGTGAAGCGGTTACGTTTGAGAGAGAGGATACGGAGCTCAGTGAGGGCGGCGAGTGAGTCGAAACTGCCTTGTAGGTCGAGGTCTTCGAGGACGAGTCTAGTGACTCGGTTGTGGAGGCAAGAAACGCCATAAAAGGCGGAGGAGCTGCTACATGGATCGGAAGAGTAGTTCCAGGAGGTGAGCCTGTTTGATCTGTCGGAGGAAGCTTTGAATGTCATCAATGGAGCAAGGTCTGGGTAGTCGTTGGCCGGTGATGTAGCCTGGAGGAGGGAAAGGTGGAAGAGGAGGAGGAGGAATAAGAGAAAGTGTGTGAGATGCAGAAGTGGCGGCGATGGTGGTGGTGCCGCCATCGTTGTGGGTGGTAGAGAGAGATAGTGGCGGTGGGGAGTGGAGTTGGAGTCTGTACTGTGGAATGGAGCGCAGTGACGGGAAAAACGTGAACGTTAATGGTGATCATCTGGGTCAGATATGCACTTATCACAATATCACCCTCGTGCTTTGGTTAATTTTCAAAAATGACCCTCAATTTTCTGAAAGATAGATGTCAATTTCAAAGAATTTAAATGCTCAAATGTTCTTTTCCGATATAGAGGGGGCGGCCCCTCCAATCAAGAAAAAAAAAAGTAATGACAAATTTTTTGATTTTTAATTTTTTTAATAAAAGACAGAAAACAAAACCAAAGACAACACTTGTGAGGAAGCTAAACCGAAGCAACCATCAGAAAGAAGCAAAACTCAGAAAAAGAAGGGAAGGGAAGGGAAGGGGAGGGGAGAAAGAAGGGAACCAACCACTAGGGAAGGTTCCAGACAAGCTTAGCACGGGCAACGTTAGGGGAAGGCTTTATGGTAAGACCAATCAGACTGGATCGGACATCATCAGAGATGGTCTTAACCACCATGTCCAAAGATCTTCTCTTATTTTTGAAGATGCGATTATAACTTACCTGTCAAAGGTGGTAGACGGTTCCAGCAAGCACTAAACGTCGAATGATAGGCCAAATGGTCTTACATTTGGTGGCTTGCTGAAACATACTGATAATATCAGCCTAGTTATCAAGGATAACATGGAGGTTCAGCTTGGGCTTAAGATCATTCCAAACCTGGTTAGGAAACAGACACTCAAAGAAAAGATGCTGATAAGAATCAGGTGCGTTAAGATAGAATGTGATGCCAATCAACATCCGGCTCATTAAGGCGGATGAAGAGCCAGACCTCACGAACAGAGAAAGAAGTAAGACGACCATCCTTTTTTCTCCAAAGGAGTTTATCAGGGACAGAAGGGGAAAGGACATGAGGAGGAGAATTACGAATAAGGGGATCGGGATTGTCCCGCTGGTGGGGGCAAGTTCAGCTACCTTGACAGATAATGTCCTTAACGCAGGCATTGAGGGAGAAGTTCGCGCTGAGGATATTACAGGGAGAGATTTGCCGGCAGAGGAGGCCAGCCGGGTGCCAGTTATCAAACCAAGCTGACGTGGAAAAGCCATCACCAATGTGTATCCTGCTGACCTATCCTAGAAGTTTATCTTGTATTTAGTTATATTTATCTACAGTTAGTTACACTGATTCAAACATGGAGCTTAAGAAGTTGTATTTACGTAGAATTTACTTGTAATCTTGAATTTTTAAGTAATATGCATCACCAAACAATACATCATGTATAAGAGATGATTTTTAAGAGTTTTTATCAAATACTTTATAATATAGTATAGATAACATAAAACAGATAATTATTAAGAGAAATCAATTAAGATAGTCATTTTGACCACATGGTTTCACGTCTTAATCATTTTTCTCTAGGAATCATGAAAACAACATTTCGTCTGCAATTGCAGATTTAGCTAACAACAACAAAATGTTACTGGAAATCACGGACGTGCATAAAAAATGTAACCTTTTTTATCGTTTAACTATGTATAAAAAAAATTGAGAGGTGGTAAAATTTGTGAAATTTTGGAGCGAAATGGCTTCATTTTCTTTATTTTAATGATATTTGTAATTATATTTAACAAAAAGAAATAATTAATAAACTATTAAAAAAACAGGAACCTAAACCTATTTTAACTTTATTTGTGAGTCAACACTTATTACCTTGAGTCCCTTACCTATATGAGTCTCCATGGCCATGACCCTCTTCAATAAATGGTCAAAGTCAAAATTGGATAAAAAACTAGTACCCAATTTATGGGTTTTGTACCTACAATAATTGTACTTAATTTACGCATTCAAGATTGTGTCATCACAAAAATATGTAATTATAAAAAATAAAAATAAAAACCGTATGTATATTATATGTATATTAGGGGCCGTTCATCAAACACTTACCCGTTAAGTGTTTACTGGTAAAAATTAAGATTATTATCTATTTATTAGGTAAGATTTTAATTCACAAAAAGAATATTGTATGCAACAATTTACCCGGTAAGTGCTTACCGTGGTGAGAGTCGTCGCCCTCACTTACTGGGTAAGACTCATGCTCCTTGTCTCGCTTTCACTAGGTAAGATTTTTTATTCTTATCATATTCATTCGGTAAGGTAATATGACTTGATAACCGCTTACCCGGATAACCGTCTGGTAAACAGCCCCTAAATCTTGAAAAACACGCTTATTTGAAAATAAAACAACAAAAAAGGTTAAATATTATACAAAAATTGTTTCTTTTTAACTGTAGATTTTCAGGTTAAATTATGCGTAGTGACTAATCCTCCAGACAAACATAAATAGTTTGAAACACATTAAATCTTTAGTACTCACTATTTTTATATGTTATTCATACTATATAATAAAACATTTGACAAAAACTCTAAAAAATGTTTTTTATGCATAAAGTACTGTTTATTGTATTTTGCTTAAAATTCAGATTACAAGTAGATTGTGCGTAAGTACAACTTATAAAGTTATAAAGATTTCATGTTTAAATTCGTGTAATTAACTGCAGATAAACATAATAAAATACAAGATAAACATCTTAATTTATATATAAAAAATCTAAAATATAATTAGAATAATAATTGAATACTAACAAAATAGTTAATTATTATCTTTATAGAAAATTATATCGTTAAACCAAAAATAAATATTTCGTTATTAAACTTGAATTAAATTATAATAAAAAAAATTGAATCAAAAAAAGTACACACAAAAAGACTTTTAAGTAGTTAATTTATACAATATAGTTTTTTTCAAATATTTATAACATTTTCAAATTTATATTTTATTCAAAAACAAAAACATCATCGTTTTCTCAAAACTACATAAAATCGTATTATTACATCAATAGAGACAAAAAAAATAAAACGAAACATCATAATCGAGATATATCTCACTATGTTCCGTTGCTCGAGTACCCTTCTAGTATATATAAATACAAATACAATGTTAACAAAAAAAAAACTTACTTACAAGTAAATTAAAAACGTTATTCATGGTAACCATAACTTGAAAAACAGAAATTGTTTTAGGTTTTCTCTAATTAAACTTTAAAAACCATACAACGACACTTTAAAAGTTAAAGTTGAATTGGCTTTAATGCTATGTATAGTTTTTCCGTTGTTTAAAATCGATCAAGTAGTTATATGGTTTAAGACGGATAAATTTGAACTTTTTGAGCTTATTGTTGTTTTCCAAGTCAAAGGATTCAATAATTCCATCTCTAAATGTTACTTTCAGAATGTCTTAATTAACTAACGTTTTCATAACTTCATAGTGATCTTAGAATTAGATAAGTTGTTTTTCCAAACTTATGAAAGTATATATACTCTATTTCAAAATAACTGATAGTATTTTTATTTTAGTTTGTCTAAAAATAAGTGTCTACTTTTTTTATTCCACGTTTAAATTGTTAGATGGATAAAATGTATCTCTCTCCATTACAAAACGTAAAATTGTCATCTACTTGACTAAAAAACATAATAATTATACATTTTAAAACTATATACTTTTTTGTTATTGACATTTATTTTGAGACGAAATAAATATTTAAAACTATTAAGTGCAATACAATAATGAAAATGAAATTGGGATAGGTAATTAAAATATTGTAGAATGTGAATCATTATTTTCATTCCATTCCATTATATTATTAGGGGTTCCTTAAAATTAAGGGCAAAATGCATAAAATAACAATTTATTTTAATAAATTTTTTATTATAATATTGTACTTATAGTTTTTCTTATTACAGTAATATACTTTCAAACTATTTTTTATTAAAACATTGTACTTTGAAAAATTTAACCATTATAGCATTGGACAACATTTTGATTAAAATTTACCCAATATACCAGGTTACCATGCCACCTTATTGTCCACGTAGGTTGTCCACATGTACTATAGTGATATGACTTTCTTATTATAACATTGTACTTTCAAAATTTTATTATAACATATACTAGTTTTTATTAAACAATGTACTTTTAATTTTAATATTTAGATATTGATGTTATTTAATAAATATATTAAATGAATTAAAAAATTTCTAATTTATTCATGAATATACCAATATTAATAAAACTAGTAGAAAATAACTTATCTTGCTAAATATTTTTAAAAATTATGTGTTTTTGAAAAAAGAAAATACAAATTGTTTCTTTTTTACCAAAAAATATTTTATTTTAAAGAATATATTATATTTGTTCAAAAACTTTTTTTGACGTATAAATATATAAATTAATTAGATTTTTTTGAATTATTTATAAATATAACAATATTAAAAAAATTGTAAAACACAATTTATTTCGTTAACATTTTAGAGAGAACTTTAAAATATATGCATTTCTTTGAACAATATAAAATAAGAAGCCTTACCTTTTTTACAAACAAAATATATCTCGAAAATAATGTAGCATATTTATTTATTTAAAAATTATTTTACTCTACAATATTTAATGTGTATGCAACTTAATACAAAAAAGTCAAAAAAATTAAATGTTTTTCTAAATCATAGTAATGAAAAATGAAAATCATTAATATATAATTTGTAATAGATTTTTATTTTTAGTTTTATTTTAATCAAGTCATCAAAATGATGTGTTATCCACATCACCTCATTAAAGCCACACAAGCAAAAACAATGAAAGGGTCAACCGGTTTAAAAGGTAACAGGTTACCCATTGCTATAATGGTAGATTTTTAAAGTGTGATGTCTTAATAAAAAAATAATTTGAAAATATATTGCTGTAATAAAAAAAAACAAAAATAGAATGTTATAATAAGAAAATTTATGAAAGTAGGTTATTATTTCATGCATTTAACCCTAAAATTAATTAATAATAAAAAAACAAAAAAAGAAATTTGATAGCCACATAATCCATCGCGTCATATCATCTTTTATTGTATGTCTTGGTAGATGA